TTCATGCTAGTGAGTCTCCTGTGCACTTGCTCTACAAGCCAGTCGTAGAAAAATAATTTGGCCGGAACTCAGGCTTTGGAGTCAGGCGGTCCTAGCTATGCTTTTTGAAAGATGATACAAGGCACAAGGTTTCCAAGCTAGGACGCTGGCAGTAGCTTTCTGGGTGTGAATCCTGGCTCCAGGCTTTCTAGCTAGTGATCTACTTGGTTTCTCTGTCTTGGGTCCCTCCTTTCTGAAAGGGAGATAATCACAGTGCCTGTGTCAGAGGGTGGCTGAGAGGATTAAAAGTTGAAATTTGGCCAGGGGAAACCTTAGCACAGGCTCTGGAGCATAAAGGCAAGATACCCTGAATGTATCCTACAACAAGATGGCTCAAAGACAGGAAGTTGGAGGAATTCTTTTTGCCCGGGGTAAAGGGAAGGGATATTAAAAGCTTGTTAAAAAGATCCCTGTTTTCTTCAGGATACAACTACAGACAATAAAGATTGACAAAAATCACAAAGTATTCTTGATGAGGGGGACTATAACAAAAGAGTGCCTTCAGCTCCACAGGAAATATGAGAGGATTCTGAGAAGAGGGAGGTTGTTTGTCAAAAGGAGGCATAGGTCAAGAGAGAGCTCAGGGAAGCTCTCATTTTCACATCCCATGAGGTTGTATCTGGGGATATATGATGCATTGGCACTCACAAAATCCAGCCCACCTTCATGCTAGTGAGTCTCCTGTGCACTTGCTCTACAAGCCAGTCTTAGAAAATAATTTTGGCCTGAACTCAGGCTTTGGAGTCAGGCGGTCCTAGCTATGCTTTTTGAAAGATGATACAAGGCACAAGGTTTCCAAGCTAGGACGCTGGCAGTAGCTTTCTGGGTGTGAATCCTGGCTCCAGGCTTTCTAGCTAGTGATCTACTTGGTTTCTCTGTCTTGGGTCCCTCCTTTCTGAAAGGGAGATAATCACAGTGCCTGTGTCAGAGGGTGGCTGTGCGGATTAAAAGTTGAAATTTGGCCAGGCATAGTGGCTCAAGCCTATAATCCCAGCACTTTGGGAGGCCGTGGTGAGAGGATTGCCTGAGCCCATGGGTTTGAGACCAGCCTGGGCAACTTGGTGAGACCTCATCTCTACAATAAATCAAGACATTAGCTGGGTGTGGTAGCATGTGCCTGTAGTTCCGGCTACTTGGAAGGCTGAGGCAGAAGGATCACCTGACCCCAGTGGGTCGATGCTGGGGTGGCCGTGAGCATGCTACTGCACTCCAGCCTGGGCGACAGAGGGAGACTCCAACTTAAAAAGAAAAAAAGATGAAATTTATATAAAGCCTTTATGGTAGTGCCTGGTCCATGGTTGGCTTTTGTTGAATACTTGTTGTTACTTTTCTTTATTAGCAATGTGATCTTAGGCAAGAGGTGTAAGTTCACTGAGATTCATTACCTCATCTATAGAATCAGGATTATAGAACTGTGGGACTTTAATGAAGCATGTAAAACTCTTGCCAAAGACTCTCATCACATAGTTGGTACTCAATAAATGTTCATGTTTTAGACTATCTCTCCATCTTTCGAAGATGGAAGATAAATCACTTATAAATGAGCAATCTACCAGCACATAAAATGTTCTCCAGGACGATGGTTTGTGTCGTGTTTTAAAAATTGTGTTTACATTTCTATTTCCAGTCTTGAGATATTTCTGTTTACCACTTGACATAGGCTTTTGCCAGGTATTTCAATTTTAGATGCTGTACTCTTCATTCTTGCTGTAGTTGCTAACATAAACTTTTGCCAAATGTTTTATAGAAATTAAAGATGATTATAGTGTGCCCACTTGCTGTTTTTTCACAAAGAAATGAATACTCTTTCCTAGCAACTAAAAAACTTTCTGGGGCAACCCCTTCTGGTGCCCTCCAACCGTGGGAGCTTTTCTGTCCTCTCAATAAATCCTGCTTTCTCACTTTCTGGCAAATAAAAAAAAAAATCTTTCTGAATGCCACGAATGCACAGGTAAAAAAGACATGGTACTGAACCTGGTCTGACGCAGACACTTTCTTGGCTGTTAAAGGATCACAGTCATGGTACCTGGAGTACAGGGAGAGCCCAGAGAGCACTGAGCAGGCGAGGATTACCCAAAGTCCTACAAGGTTGATGTAGAGAGACCTGAGAAGTGAAAACAAATCAGCAAAGGATGATCGTAATTTCAATCCCAAAGGTTAGGAAACCTGTCGCACAAACAAAAAAAGACCTCCACAATTAGACTCAATAAATGCACATTATCTTTTGGCTATCAAAATGCTACTGGTTTTATTCTAGTTTAATATCCTGCTTATGTGAAAATATTTGGAATAGTTGGGGTTTTCCCATGTTTCTGGTGTATCCTCCTAGTTGAAGTTTCATGGGCATTGTTAGTCTTATAATGGTACGTAATTATACTGCTTCAGGTCTTCTTGTCATGAAATAAGGATTTAGTCAATAGAGCAGTGACTATTACTCATTTCTTTTTTAAAAAGTAATGCAATTATAAGCTGCTAAGCACTGCTAGCATCTACATAGCAGCTCACCAAACTTGTTTGAATGTCATCTGTGAGACCACACATTAAGTACGCATGCAAACTTGTACTCCTGGACAGGCATCTTCTCAAACAATATACTGCATGTGCTCCAGGAGAGTCTAAAGGTGTACACCACTGCACTGGAGCCAGACGTGGGCATAAATCCTGTCTTTACCACCTGGGACCTTGGGCAAGGAATTCAGCCTCTCTCATGTTCAGCTTCTTAATTTACACCTAGAGATAGCAATGCCCACTTCACAGGGTTGCAGAACTAAATGAAATAGTATATATCATATAGTATGTTACTTGCATTTAATAAACACTTCGATAAGTATTGATGCTATTAGTGTTTATTTCATCAAATGCTATGTCTAGATATGCAAATAGCAAGTATTTCTCTCACTAAGGTGCCTACATATTTTTTCCAGAGGTATGCAGTGGACAGTGACAAGCTGCCCTGGGCAGAAGGGGTTCCACTCCCAGAGCCAGGTTTCTTTCCTGGGGAAGCCTGCATCCACCAACTAGTGAGTCCAGAGGTTTAAAGGCCCAGTCCCCTCACTCCAGCTTGGGACAAGCTGAATAGCCTGGCCATGGAACTCCCTCTAAGGCCCCTTCTGAGACAGGAGTGCATCGGCATCTCCCTCTGGCCTATCCTGCTTCCTTTTCTTCCCTTTTCTAGGTAGCGATTCCCAATAAACCCTTGCTTGCTAACACCCACTGTAGAGTCTGCTTCCCGAAGAACCCACCATCAACAGGTGCCCAATCACAGACTGCTACTCTCTTCCCTTAAACTGACTAACATCACTGTATGCTTTGTTATTGTTATCTCATCGCTGAATCATCAGGAAATGATGGCCAGGTACTCTCTTGCTCAAATGCTTCCTCTCGCTTATATCTGAGTTTAATACTGTGAACGTCATATTGTTTTATTTGACTCGATCACTTAGCAAGATGTGACATTGTCCCTTGTCAATCAATGCCAGTTGGCCTTGGCTTTGGGGCAGGTACTCATGCGTCCCATAGCTCCAGTTCTAGAAAGCAGGTGAAAATAGTTATTCTGGATTCAGGGAGTCTACCTTGTTTGGGAGACCCACTGGACTACTCTTTTGGGAATTGATTTGTATTAAAGTAAAGCTCTAGTGCTGTTCTTTTGTTTTATATATATGTATATACCTTTCATTGTGAAGTTTTCCAAAGGTCAATTTATTCCCATATGCTAAGTTCTGGCATGTGACATCACAAAATTTTCATATTCTCTTTGAACACACACATAACTACCACACTTTCTCCCATCTCAAATACCTGTTCCCTTAATCTACTTAGAGTTTTTAGGCCCCTAAATGCATGTGGGTAGTCAGCCTCCTTTACCAGCATGGGAGGTAGTGGTCACCACCCTGGTCTGAGGCCTCCAGAGGAAGAACCAGCCACCATTTCATACTCTTAGCTCAAGCCTGGTGGGATGGGAGTCTCCGACCATGCTGTCCTTCCTGCCTCTGTGCTTCTGCCCAAGCCACTGTGCCTCCCTGGAACACCTTCCCACCCTTTTCTCACCTGGCCAGATTATGACCATGGCTTATATTCCTTCTGCCAGGCCAATAGGGCGCTCTCATCCACCCTCTGCCTTAACATCACATCAGTTGTTGTGAGAAAAGGAACTCACATTTACTAGATGTCTATCCACATGCGCCAAACCCATCGTTTATGACACCACCCATAGTTTAACAGATGTGTTGTATTTCTTATGCTCCTTTTACAGGTTTAGAAACTGCAGCTCAGAAGGACTAATCTGCCCAGGGTCACTCAAGCAGCAAGTATTAGAGCAAGGTCAGAAATCCATGACTGTGTCTGACACCAGGCCCTATACGTATTCCGGAACATATGCTCTCTTGTCAGATTGTTTCACAAAACTGCTATATCTCTCTACTTATTTTACTTTTCACATACTTCCATATGTTTTCCTAATTTGATGTTAAATTCCTTCATGACAAAAGCCATATATTTATAATTTTTCATCCACTGTAGGTCCTTAAGCAAACAGATGCACAATACATGCTAATTGATTTGATAAGATTTGTTTTACTTAATTGCTCCTATAAATATTTTCAAATATCTAACTTAAAATATACAGTACAACTTTGTTCTGCCTGGTCCTTTTATAACCAAGTATGTCATTTATCTCTTGGAATTTCATGAAACAAAAGACTTAAACTTGAGCTAAACTTGACTTATGCAAGAGTTTCCTTAGAGACAACTGATGATTATATAGTGTGTGACTTACAATTTGGCCTGCAATCTGCTCTTACAGGAGATATATCTTTGTACTTGAGCCTGGTTGACACCATAGATGCTGGTCCACGTGAAGGTTCCTCCAATAGTTATTGTCCAGAATGTATGTCTTTGCAAAGGATTAGGATTAAAACTAAATGAAAAGGAACAGAAAACAAATCTGAACTGTTGGTAACGACTAAAAAATAAAACATCCTCCTAGACTGTTCATGGAAGCAAGAAATGTATACCTTATACATACATACATCCATATTAATTAAGCAGTAAAGAAGGTAGAACTATTTCTAACAAGTTCAATGAAATAAAAAGTGTTATTTCCAGAAATCTGAAAATACTCGAAGATATTGGGGAGAAATGAATGATATAATCATTTTGAGAATTTATATAAATTGTTCTCCTATGGTCTTAGGAAACAGTTGTTTTAACAAATATGACATATTGTAATCAGAGAAGAACACATAACACACACACACAGAGGAAGAGAGAGAGAGAAATAATTTCTAAGTGCACTACAGCTATATATATGGTTCTAAAATGAGCACAAAAGTAACACATCGTTGCATGCAGTTCCTCTCCCAGCACATGTAGTCAAGTTCTAATTTACTTTCAAGCTCAAGAAGTCAGGCAATTAACACAGTTTGAAGTTTTTCATTTTCTGAAATTACCACGTCATTGTAATCATGATTTCTTAAAATGCTGTGTGGGCAAGCTAAATACTAATAGTTTAAAACCACTTTATGGCATCATGTAGATAAGTTCAAAATATTTTTACAAAGCAAGTTCAACTTCCATGTAGGAAATATCCTCTAACACTTTCTATTAGAAGAAATGATTCTGTTCATCTCTGACACACAGTATAAACTTGAAAACTTTCTGCAAAATTAGCTGTTATGGACACTTATTGAAAATCATGAAATGCAATTCCACTTCAGATCTTATATTTGAAATCAGTTGGGTAAAGTGTGCTGATTTTAGGCATATTATGACAGTATGACAGAAATGTGAGCACCTCTGTTCCACTGTCTAACATTTAATATCAAACTCTAATAGTTTCAAGAGTGCTGACCCTTTCTCTAGAATGAGTAGCTACTACATTAGCTAGTGGAAGTCAAGATCCAAAAGGAGTCAGTGAACTATTTGAGAAAAATATGGCAAGATTTAAAACACCCAGTACAATGGTCTCAGGCCATAGAGAATACACAGGTCAACAAAACACAATAATTTCCTTTTCATGTCCCTCAACCAGAGCAGATATTTTGTCCACCATATTCTCAAAACATATCATCATAGCAAAGGCTACTCTTGAAAAGTCTGAAACACAAGGCTTTTGGTTATTCCTTAATGGTTAATATCTTTCAAAGCTGAGGTCGTATAGTGTTTCATCTTTTATTTTTTAGAATCTCTTAGTAATGTGTAAGCTACCACCTCACAGATACAGTAAGTAAACACTTTGCATAAAGTGACAGTTGTCTTACAGAAAAATGATTAGTTCTAGACTTTCTCCCCTCAGCCTGCCCTGCAAGGAAGAGACTGGAGAGTGATCAGTAACAGCCACTGTTTCTACTTCCTGGACATCCCCAACTCTGATAACAGCAACCCAGGTTTCCTTTGGGGAAACTAGCTTTTCTCCATGAAATAGTCTAATAGCTATCAGTCAAAATATCTTGCTCTACCCTGCCCAAGGGGTAGAACCAGAACCCAAGCCAGGCAGCTTAAGGCTCTCTTCCTTAGAATCTTAATCTTGAGGTAAAAAGGGAAAAAATTATTGAAAATGGTTAAAGTTGATTCACTGAAACTCATTCCTGCAAATTAACATACCGACCCTGTCCAATTTCTGAAAAATTTCCTCTCAAATTTTGGTGCTTATTTTCAGAAGCCAGAAAAGATATGCCTAGTGCAAGATGATTTTTCTTTTTCTCGCCAGTGATTTCAGACCATCTCAAAGTAGAGCTGCTTACAGAGAAAATAAACTGGCCCGGGACATGGGTCCTTTTTCCTAATGAACACCGTGCACAAGGATGACACTACTGATTCAAAACGGAAGGTGTTTTAAATATTCTTTTAGGCCAGACTTGGTGGCTCAGCCTGTAATCCCATGCTTTGGGAGGCTGAGGTGAGTGGATTGTCTGAGCCCGCGGGTTCGAGACCCACCTGGGCAACTTGGCGAGACCTCATCTCTACAATAAATCAAAAATTAGCTGGGCGTGGTAGCCTGCGCTTGTAGTTCCAGCTACTTGGAAGGCTGAGGCGGAAGGATCGCCAGAGCCCAGCTGGTCGGCTGGGCAACAGAGTGACACTCCAACTCAAAAAAATATATATTCTTTTATATTGTGTGTTATATTTGGGATTAAATGTCTATTTTTCTTTTTGAATTGGAGTCTCACTGTCGCTCAGACTGGAGTGCAGTGGCTACTCCTGGCCACCGCAGCCTCGACCTGCTGGGCTCCGGCAATCCTTCCAAGTAGTTGGAACTATAGGCGCACGCTACCACGCCCAGCTAATTTTTTTGATTTATTGTAGAGATGAGGTCTCGCCTGCCCAGGCGGGTCTCGAACCCGCAGGCTCAAGCAATCCACTCACCTCAGCCTCCCTAAGGTGCGGGATTACAGGCTGAGCCACCGAGCACGGCTAAAATGTCTATTTTTCTATTGTTCTTAATTTTTTTCGATTGGAAAATATAGTTTATTTAGAAAATAAGTCAAGAGAAAGAAAGAAAGCAAGAGAGGAGATTCACCTCCCGATGGTAAGGGAGAGGGTGAAAGCTAGCAAACACAGTGGCCATGGCTCAAAGAACCACATGGACACACAAGACTTTAACAAAGCAATGGCCAGTTCTTTCTTCAGGAAAACTTAACAACCATTTAAGACATATTCTAGCATGTACTATACTGTCACTTTAGGCTCAATCATAGCTTTTCTAGTAAATTCCCTAGAAATAATATATAATCTTAAAAATGTTCATTATATAATATGTATACACAAACAATAGTCATAATATGCTATTTAATATACCATGTATTGCCAGTCATAATATACTGCTTAATATACTACATATTGACAGGGAATTCAATGTTGCTTCAAACAAAGAACTGCCAAAACCACTGGCTTTTAGTGTCTGTCTACCTCTCTTTTGTTTCTTTCTTTGTTGAGTTGGAGTCTTACTCTGTCGCCCAGGCTGGAGTGCAGTAGCACACTCACGGCCAACCCAGCATCAACCTGCTGGGCTCAGGCAATCCTCCTGATTCAGCCTTCCAAGTAGTGGAACTACAGGTGTGCACTACCATGCCCAACCAATTTTTTTTTTAATTGTAGAGACAAGGTCTCACCAAGTTGCCCGGACTGGTCTAGAACACACGGGTTCAGGCAATCCATTTGCCTCGGCCTCCCAAAGTGCTGGGATTACAGGCTGAGCCACCGAGGTTGGCCCCTTTGTTTCTTAATGGTGGGCTTCAATCCAATATGGCAGTGTTTGTCTCTTAAGAGGTTTCCTTTTCTTATCTTTCCATTATCTCTTCCCTTATCTACTGTCCCACCTTTCGGCCTATCTTGGACATTAATATCTGGAAGAAAGTATTTTTTGGCTAGAAGTCTCTTCTCAGGAGGAAGCATCATTTTAAGTACCATGTAACTAAGTAACATCTCATTGTTTTAACTCCTAAAAGAACTGGTAGAAGCCCCTTACACATTTACTTGCCAGCTTCAATTTACTGTGCAGCATCCTAAGTAGTTTGCTGTTGTTTTCTAATGTAAACCTACTATTTTAGTAAAGAGATTCCTTTTACAGAGAAAAAAAAAGATGTGTTCTATTAACCAAAAGGTAAACAGCAACTTACTTCCAGAAGTTTAATCTTCCACCATTATAAGCATCATTTAAAATAGTGCTGAATCCACCTTGAATTACTGAAGCCTGTATAATCACGGATGCAAATCCAGCCACCATGATCCCAACTTGAAAAACATCCGTCCAGACAACTGCTTTGAGACCGCCCTTTGAAGGAAAAGTGTATTAGGATTCATACTTCTATCAGACATTATTAAGCATCTACACACTTATACAATGTACTAAAAAAAAAAAAAAAAAAAGATGAAAACATGGATCTTGGGCCCCCTCCCCCACCTTGGGGAGGTGAATCTTCTTTCTCCCTTTTCTCTAATTTACTTTTAAATAAACTTTTTTTTTTTTAAAAAAAAAAAAAAGGAAAGAAAGAAAACATGGATCTTGGTCAAGAGGTGCCCTCAGGGGTGTTGTTCAGGTTGGTAGAACTTTCACAGAGAAGGAGATATTTAAGCCAAATCTTCAAACATTAGCAGAGGGCTAGGACGGAAGGTCCTCCCAGCAGAGAAAACAGCCTGGGCAAAGGCCTAGAGGGGTCACACAACACAGCATGTTAAATGTGGGCAGACAGATATTTTGGAATGAAGTCGGTACATATGAGTACAGTTATGATAACTTGGCAACAGTAAGGATGAATCAGGAGACAAGATTAGAAGCCACTGCAATGGTTCAGATGAAAGAAGAAAAAGAATCAGTTGTGATCCATGTCCCAAAAAGGATCAAATTTATTGACAGAGTAAATAGTCCTTTCAAAAAGCAACACTGTGGGAGCTCAGAAGTAGGAGAGCAGGGGCAAACAACTCAGTGTGCAGCACACAACAGCTGGAAATTCCAATTTTTGCCACAAGTGGGTAGAGTGAAGGGGGAAGTATGTTCTTGACCTACCAGTGTGCAGTAGAATGTGCAGACCACCCCCGTTGTGACTACCGCACCCCACAGATCAAATCCCGTGGCTGTGGAAGAAAAGAAAATGCATGTAGAACTGAAATATGCAAATAAAATACTCAAAAATTTTCAGGGAGGGAAACTACATCACTTATTAAGCACCCACCTCTACATTCACTTGCCTCAAGCTAGTTCCAAATCTCATAAATGTCTCAAAAACAAATGGAGCTTAAGATTCAATTTGATGAGCTTCTACCCTCAGACACACAGATCCAATGTTGGTTAGATTAAACAGATGGAAGAGTATTTCTATTGTAATTCAGCTAAGAAACTGCTTCCTACTGTGAGGTAGTTGGTCAGACTGAACAAAGTCTAAGGGTATTTTCCATCTCTCTCCCCATTAGACGCAGGTCAGATAAACACACTATTCACCAGTCCTTGAAAGACGTGTTACTAGCATACTTTTGCTAGGATGAGACCTAGATGGAGAAGAGTCTAGAATTTGCTACTATTTGTCTGAAGAAGAAGGGCATATTATATTGTTTAAAATAAAAGGGCAAATAACAAACAGAAAAAAGGAATTGCTGTAGGATACAGAGGAAACAGGATAGAGGAGGCAGGGATATAAGATTTCTCTAAACATATTTTGATTTATAGATTTGCCTTTGGAGCCATAGAAATATTCTATAAAATTATAAAAATTAAATTAGAAAAATAACCTCTTCAAATTTAAAAGCAAAATAAAATAAATTGAACCTAGTCATATATTAAGTTTGTGACATTACCAACAGAGAAAAATATGTCACAGGGTTTTAAAACACAATAATGTAACATATATCTCTGCTAAGACATACTCTAAAAAAAGAACACTGCAAAGAAAAAAAATTAACTGTTTTTGGTCATCATATTACTTGTTATGGTTTGGAATTGCTATTCTGAATTTGATGTTAGCACACATGGAAGCATTCCCTGAAAAACAAAATTCATCAAAACTGACTCAAAAATTAGAAAATATGAATAACACTGTCTTTATTAAAGAAATTAAATCCTTGAGCTAATAGCTTTAGACAAAAACAAATAGCAGGCTAGATGCCTTCATTGTGAATTCTGTCAAGCATTAAAGAAAGAAACACAATTTTATGTAAACTCTTTGAGAAAATAGATAAAGAAACATGACCCAAAGCATTTATGAAGCCAATACAGCAGATCCACAAATCTGATAAGCACATTATAGGAAAAGAAAACTTCAAAACAATATTCCTCATGAACTGTAAAAACCCTTGGCAAAATTACAGCAAATCAAATCCAGTCACACACAAAAAATAATACATTACGACCTAAGCAGTGTTTATCCCAAGAATGTAAAATTAGTCTAACATCCAGCAGCCAACCAATGTAACTTGCTACATTAGCAGTGTGGGATGACAAGAAAGAGAATGAAAGCCATGATGATTAGAAAAGAAAGAAAATTGGCTCTATTTATAAAAAACATGGAATTCCTAAGGGATCTCAAAAGGCCATGAATTACTAAGTAAATTTTGGAAGTTCACAGGACAGGAGATCAACATATAAATATCAACTGTATTTTTATATACTTGTAAAGAATTATTGGCAAATGATATAAAACAATGCCACTTGCAAAAGTATAGAAAATATCAGTTATCTAGGAATAAATCTAAGAACTATGTGTAACACCTGAAAAATGTTATTCATATTTCCAGTAAGCTGGAAAGCATTACTAAGGGAAATTTTAGAAGGCCTAGGTAAATGAATAGATATAAGGTATAATGTATTGGAAGACGATTTGCTTTTGTAAAGTGTCTATTCAAGTCTTTTGTGCACTTATTATTGAGCTATTTATATCTTTAAATTCATTTGATTGAATATTATTGAGTCAATCAGCTCAACCTCATTAGGCATCAGGAAAATGCAAATTAAAACTACAATAGCCCAGGCTCGGTGGCTCAACCTGTCATCCCAGCACTTTGGGAGGCCAGGCGAGTAGATTGCCTGAACCTGAAGGGTCGAGACTCACCCGGGCAACTTGGTGAGACCTCTTCTCTATAATAAATCCTCCCCCCCAAAAAAATTAGCCGGGCGTGGTAGCACATGCCTATAGTTCTGGCTACTTGAAAGGCTGAGGCGGAAGGATCGCTGGAGCCCAGCAGGTCGACGCTGCGGTGGTTGAGAGCATGTCACTGCACTCCAGTCTGGGTAACAGAGTAAGACTCCAATTCAAAAAAAAAAAAAAACCCACAATAGACAATACCCACTAGAATAGCTGAAATAAAAAATAATAGAAAATTGTTAGCGAAGATGTGGAATGACAGGAATTCTTATATATTGCCAAGTGGGTTTGTTAAATAGTACAACCACTTGGAAAAGCTATTTGGTAATCTCTCTTAAATTCTGTGCATATACCTAGCCTGAGCTGGGTCAGAATAGATATATGCTAATGTTACCTCCATGTATTTCATTTCCAACAGAAATAAAAAACAGGTGTTAATAAGAAAAATAAAAACCCCACAAAACCTGTACAAGAATGTCCTTAATTCACAATAGCCTAAAACTGGAAACAAGCCAATGTTCATCAACAAAAGGATGGCTAAACAAATTTTGGCAGGAGCATACAATAAAGCACGCATGGCAATTAAAAGAATTGAACGACTGATACAGCATGAATGCAGTCACATGAATGAATCTCACAAATATTTTGTTGAGCAAAAGAAAACAGATACAGAAAGGTTCTATATTATTCCACTTGCATAAACTCTAAGAACAGGGAAAACTGATTTATGGCAGTAAAAATTGGAAAGTAGTTACTTGGGGGCCATAGGGGGCTTATTAGAAAGAGGCACAAAACATTTTCTGGGATTGGATGATGAAAACAGTCTATAATTGAGTTGGGTGGTAGTTATATGAGCATACACAATTATTAAAACTCATCCCAACTGTACACTTAAGTTCTGTGCATTTTATTGTATATATGCTATGTCTCAATAAAATCTGGTTTTCCATTTTAAAAAGCAAGAAAGAAAAACTTAAGAGACATCAACTAAATGCAATTACATAAACTTATTTAGATTCTGATTCTAACAAACACTGAGAAAAATCAGGGAAGTCTGAACACTACCTTGATATGAAATTAAGACAATAATAGTAATGTTTAAGATATAATGGTAGGATTATGTTAAAAAAAAAACAAACCAGGTCCTTATTTTCAAAAGACACATTGAAATATAGATGAAATGATGTACCATCATAGAGCTATAGCAAAATAATCTAGTCGGGGTTGAAGAGAGAGATAAAATTGACCATGAGTTGATAATAAGTTCATTAGAGTTCAAGGTCCTATTCTCTCTACTTTAGTATTCATTTGGGGTTTTCCATAGTAATAATTAAGAAAAGATTGTACCTAGAGAATTTTTCTTTTTTTTTTTTTTTTTGAGTTAGAGTCTCACTCTGTTGCCCAGACTGGAGTGCAGCGGCCACTCCTGGCCACCACAGCCTCGACCTGCTGGGCTCCGGCGATCCTTCCGCCTCCGCCTTCCGATTAGCTGGAACTACAGGTGCGCGCTACCACGCCCGGCTGATTTTTGATTTATGGTAGAGATGAGGTCTCGCCAAGTTGCCCGGGCGGGTCTCGAACCCACAGGTTCAGGCAATTCGCTCACCTCAGCCTCCCAAAGTGCGGGATTAGAGGCTGAGCCACCGAGCCCGGCTTTGTACCTAGAGAATGTTAAGTTCCGATTCAGCTAAACTAGTTTCTATTGCAAATCTGTTGCACACCAAGCACTATGTGCCTTCTGCATTGGTCACAGTAAAACACACAATTAACACTCTAGCCATTCTAATGCAGTCGCTCTGGTCCTAATTTACCCCCAGGGAGTGACTTGCCTGATAAGAAAGAATCCTTGATTTTTTCACAGAGTGAAGTCAGTGCTCTGGTTAGTTCCAGAACTGCACTTTCAAACCCTAATATCTTTAATTACACTCAAAGACAATAGGTGATTTATGAAGTTTATAACTCAGTTCTTGACATAGGAAATGACCCATTTTTATGCTGATAATATTGACATGGAGCATGCCCCACACTCAGAGTTCAAGAGCACATTATGTAATGGAATTATATCTTAGTAATGATAACTGTTGTACTTCATAAACTTAGGCGATAATTACTATGGTATCCATCAAAAAATCAAGAAATGAGAGCATTGAGTTAGCAGGTTTTTCTCCATATTATATTAACTCCAGGAATTGCACCACATTCTTCCCATCAGAGTCCACTTGTCCATTTTACAGGGAAGTTTTAGAGACAAACTCACTCTCAATTGATAAGAATTCAGAAGATACGCATGGGGTTTCCCCAAAGTCTCTTGAAGATATGACAATCATGAAACTTTGCATCAATCAACGATCCCAGCCTCGCTGCTTTTATCTGCCCAAATCTAGAAAGTATAGGTAATGTGCTGATCAGCACTGTCTTCGTAAATGTATGTGTAAGGACACTCCAGTCATCTGTCTTTTCATCTCCAGGATCCGTCTGATATTACCAACTACACCACACAGCTCCCTTTCTCGTCCATTTGGGGCCATGCCAGACATGGAGAGAAGAAAAGATTTTCTTCCCGTCTGATTTTACAAGGGACCTGACTGGAATCATAGGGGAAGCCCCTGGAGATGGACTCTAGGTTAAGACACAAAAGAAGGAGCATCTTAATTAGCATTCTCAGACCCAATAGGCAATTTTCTTTTTTTTAAAAAATCAATATTTTTTTATTTTAAAATTGTGGGGTAGCCGGGCTCGGTGGCTCAGCCTGCAATCCCTTGCCTTTGGGAGGCTGAGGTGAGTGGATTGCCTGAGCCCGCGGGTTCGAGACCCGCATGGGCAGCGAGACCTCATCTCTATAATAAATCAAAAAATCAGC